GTCTTGCCTACCCTTGGTTACGCCCTCATATTACTCACAAATTACAACCCCGATCCCGTCCTTGTATTTTTTTGGGCTATCATCCTACCTCCAAGGGTTATCGCTGTCTTGACCCACAAACTCATAAAGTCTACATATCTCGTAATGTCAAATTTGTCGAAAATGAGTTTCCTTACGAGTCTATTTCCTCCTCCACAAATACATCATTCATTGGCGTCCTTCCCCTTTTTCCAACATACTCACAGGGTCCCTCACCACCTTCCCCCACACCTCCACCCACTACCCAACCACCCCTTATCACCCCTTCGAGCGTCACCCACAATACACCCGCAACCACCACCCACACTCACAACCAACCCGAACCACCCCATACCCACAACATCTCCAGCCCAATCCGTTTTGGGTCCTTCCCGGCCACCCCCGAATCACCACCGCCCGTGCCACCCCTCAATACTCATCCCATGTTAACCCGTGGCAAAGCCGATATCTTTAAACCCAAAACCTTTCAAACTATCATACTACCAAATACACCCCTTCCCGATAGTGAACCAACAACTTACTATGTTGCCTCAAAAAATGCTTATTGGATTCATGCTATGGATGACGAGTTTAAGGCTTTGACTGATCAGAAAACTTGGGTTCTTGTACCTAAGCCCCATGGGCGGCACCCAGTGGGCTGTAAATGGGTGTACAAAATTAAACACAATGCAGATGGCAGTATTTCCAGGTACAAGGCTCGTTTGGTTGCTAAAGGCTACAATCAGGAGTATGAGCTTGATTACTCCGAGATATTCAGTCCTCCTGTTATTCGGCAGGAAACCATTCACCTGGTACTGTCACTCGCCGTGCGCAACAATTGGCTCATCAATCAGTTGGATGTTTCCAATGTTTTTCTTCATGGCATGCTTGATGAAACTATCTACATGACGCAACCACCGGGCTATGTTGATCCCCGCTTCCCTCAACATGTTTGCAAACTCCAGAAGTCTCTGTATGGGCTCAAGCAAGCCCCCCGTGCTTGGTACACACGTCTGAAAACGTTCCTCCAGGGACTCGGCTTCACGTGTTGCGTACACGACACGAGTCTGTTTACTCAACATTCAGCACACGGTATAGTCATTCTTCTTGTCTATGTAGATGATATCATTATTATAGGCTCTACTGCAGCTCTCATTCAGGATGTCACTCGAGCTATGCATACTACCTTCAAAATGAAGGACCTTGGCCCGTTACATTATTTTCTGGGAATGGAGGTTTCTCGGACAAGCAACGGCTTGTTTCTTCATCAGTCAAAATATGCTTGAGATCTGTTGCAGAAAGCTGGACTGGAAAAATGCACCAGTCAACCAACACCGATGGCAGTCTCTTCGTCTACGAATGGAGCCGACACCCCCTTTGCCGATATCACCCACTTCCGCAGCCTCATTGGGGCTCTACAGTATGTGGCCATTACCCGTCCTGACATCCAGTTTGTTGTCAACCGAGTTGCTCAGCGCATGCATCAACCAAGTGAACATGATCACCATTGTCTAAAACGCATTCTTAGGTACATTTTTGGCACTCTTGGTTGTGGTTTACTCATTCGACCCGGGGACTTGGAGCTTCGGGGTTTCTCAGATTCAGATTGGGCAAATGATAAAAATGACAGAAAATCTACATCAGGGTTTCTCATTTTTTTTGGGGCCGAACCTGATCTCCTGGTGTACAAAAAAACAACCCAAGGTCTCTCGGTCCTCGACTGAAGCTGAATACCGCGCCCTTGCTCTTCTTGCTGCTGAGACCATGTGGGTCACATATATTCTTCGCGAACTCCACGCCACTCACACTATTCCTGCTCTCTATTGTGACAACAAATCAGCCATCTGTGTGGCCAAGAATTCCGTCCTACACACCAGAATAAAGCATGTTGATACCGATTGTCTCTTTGTTCGCGATGAAGTTCAGGCCGGCACCATGACTGTGCAGTATGTACCCACTGAAGAACAACCGGCTGATTCTCACCAAGCCTCTCCCGAGCCGACAGCACGATTACCTCAGTTCCAAGCTTTCGTTTGCTTCCGCTCAGCTCAGCTTGAGGGGGGATAATAATAGATAGTATTAAATAAATAGTATAAAATAATATAAGTATTTACTGTGTACTAATCCTAGTCCTATTAGGATTAGTACTCCTTAATCCTAGTCCTATTAGGATTAGTACTCCTTCCTATATCTCCTATATATATTCCTTCAGTTCTTAAGGGCGTAGATCATGACACAAACTTAAATATTGATCCTAATCCTATGTACATTCATCACAATACTACTCTCTATGTATGTGGCCTAATTAAGGTTTAGTTCAATGTGGGCCATGTGAAAAGGCTAAAGTTGATTTTTTGGAAATATCATAGATTGTTCTAATAATGTTTCTAAAATAGTGTAGGATAATATCTAGGATAATTATCTTGGAAAATATCTAGATATCTAGAAGATAAAGATCAATAGAATTTTTTTTTGTAGAAGTATCTAGAAGAATTTCTAGAACCATCTGTGAACAAGTATAAATATGGGTGGTCTTGTACATTTGTAGTCAACCCAAATTAAGTAGTCTTCTTCTATATCAAAGTTTTCTTTTCAAGATATTTCCTTTCCTTTCTAGCTTCCTCTTCTTTAGTTGAATCTTTCTATCTTAGTTAACGATCTTGGGCTAACAGAAGATTTCCATAATTATACTTTTCTTCTGCTATTCTCTACATGGTATCAAATTCATAGCCGTAGATTGGTTTGCGAGTGTTATTTAAAGATCAGTTTGGTGGTAGATTCAACTAGTTTTCATAGATGGATTTTAGCGGTCGTGTTAATGGACTAGGGATGGAGTTGTTGAAGCAGTCCAATTACAAGGTATGAAGACATGTATGGAATCATACCTTGTGGGAGAGGATTTGTGGGATGTTCTTAATGGGAATGACACAAGTCCTCCTGCTGGCGGACCAGAAAATAGAAGTGTATACAAGAAGTGGAAGCAGGTTAATGCAAAGGTGGAGTTCATTCTGAAGAGGATAATCTCCTCCGGTTTATTTGATCACATTATAAAGTGTAAATTAGCTCACGAGATATGGATGACCCTCGATCGCTTGTTCAACAAGAAGAATGAAGCTCAGCTGCAAATATTGGAGAATGAATTGGCTAATACTACTCAAGGTAATCTTTCTATCTCATAGTACTTTTTCGAAGATTAAGAACTTTTGTTCTAAGATGTCTTTGTTGAATCCAGAAGAGGCTATTTCTGAAGCACGAATGAGAAGAATAGTCATTTTTGGGTTAAACTCGAATATATTCAATTTGTGACGTCGATTCAGGAATGTGCTTAACAACCATCATTGGAGGAATTTGAAAATTTGTTGACCTCACAAGAATTACTAGCCAAGCAGTGGGCTAGGGTGTTTGTCAAGGACGAAGAAGGAGATGCTCTTGTAGCCGACAAGAGCAACTTTAAAGGAAAAACAGGAGATATGTCACACTCTCATTCCTCGAGTGGTTCACGCTCACCTAGAGAGAAGGAAGAACCTTCTAAATATTACGAAAAGAGTCTCTCATATGTTATAGTTGCGGCAAAGTAGGACACATAAAGAAATATTGATGAGCCAAGGAGCGCAATATTGCTCAAAAAGTTGCCGAAGAAGAGGAAGAGTGGGGAAAAAGTTTAGTAGTTGAGGCTCGAGCAATAGATGCCATGATATACATCAACCTTGAAAGAGATTGGATCGAAGATTTAGAATATAGTGTAGCCGATCATTTGGACAAGCAAGAAACTGACATTAAGCAATAAATTTTTTAGGATGTTCCAAGTGGTGATATGGTAGCTTCCATTAAAGAAATAGAAAAAGAAGATTCCGAACAGACAATATCTGAAACTACATGTTCTAGTGGCGACCTTTACAGAAAAGCATTGATGGAGATGTATTGGTAGCGAAGTATTTGGTCAATCATTTGCAATATCAAGGCAAATTAATGGCTTGGAGGAATTTTTGAAACATATGTAGAAAGTAGAGATCAGATAGAGGAAGAAGTTGATGTTAAAGACTTGGAGTCAAACGATATGCTCTTTGAAAGCTCCGAAACTGCCAAAAAGTATATCAAGGAGATGATAAGATAATATGAGAGTAGATCCTATGTTGGTATTGAGACTTCGCAGGAAATTGATAGTGCTTCTCTCGATAATATAATTGTTGAGAAGTTTAGAGAAAAGGGGAGTTTGAGAACTCAACAAGGAGAGAATTCCCCTGGATCAATTACTGATGAAAAATCTTCACCATTTGAAGAACCAAAAGGACTTCAGAAAAACTCCCGAGATTTTCATCAAGACGTGGCTCAAAGCTTCGTTTGAATTCTTGCACGACAAGTACAAAATAGTTTTCAAAAAATCACTTTGAGGGGGAGTGTAAAAAAGCTAAAGTTGATTTTTTGGTAATATCATAGATTGTTCTAGTAGTGCTTCTAGAATAGTGTAGGATAATATCTAGGATAATTATCTTTAAAAATATCTAGATATCTAGAAGATAAAGTTCACTAAAATTTTCTTTATTGAAGTATCTAGAAAAAATTCTAGAACCATTCATGAACTAGTATAAATATGGGTGGTCTTGTATATTTCTTATCAACACAAATCAAGTAGTCTTCTTCTATATCAAAATTTTCTGATTCAAAATTTTCTCTCATTTTTAGCTTCCTCTTCTTTAGTTAAATATTTCGATCTTAGCTAATGATCTTGAGCTAGTTGAAAATTTTCAGAAATATACTTTTCTTCTGCTACTCTCTACATGTCAACCACTAAGTAAACTAAAGGGGACTCACCAGATCTTATATATTGTCTTATCCCTTCAACATACATGACACATTATAACCTGCTAATAAATGAGTACTGTACATGTATATGATCTTGTCCTGTGGAGGGTGAGGCTGCCCATTAATGTACTGAGAAACATAATTAATACTTACTAAATAAGGTAACAAAAATCTTTTACCTGTGGTGGGATAAGGCATACAATCAATTTCATCTTTTATGCCAATTGGAACTCCATCCAATACAGATAATGCTTCACCTGATCACAACAATCACATTATTATTATGCTATAATGCAAATCAAAACTTTTTTTACACATAAAAAAATTCCAAATCATGATTTTTGAAAATTTTGGATATTGTCTAAAAGTTGACTTCATATCGCATGTCCAAACACTTATTAAAAAATACAAATTTAAAATCCTAAAAATATGAGGCTATTTTGATTTTGATGTTGTAAAATTAAGAGACCTTAAAAGCAACACAATATGGGAGAAACTAGTAGCATGATTGACAGAGTACGAATATTTAGAGGCTAGGGTCTGTGGATTGAAGTCTTGAAGATTTAAGTTGAAGAAATCTCTTAAATATTTCTTCAACTCATTGCTATTTAAGTGTGTGTTGTGACGAAAAAATAAAAATGAAAATCTAACAATAAAGAACACCAAGTTTAACATGGAAAAATCCTTCAAACGGAAGGTAATCATCACGGGATCGAAAAGATCTGAATTGCTTCACTATACCAACAAGAGGGTTACGAATATTCTTTCTAATGGCTACACAACAAGTGCCAAAAGAGAACAAACAATAGCTACACCAACAAAAGATAAATAGAAAGAAACACCATCCAAACTCAGCTTCTGTTCGGGACTTAAAATAGGATCTTTCTTACCTCCGAATCTGATCTCTACCGTTCAAATCAACCACCAAATTTCAGCCCGATGCAACGATTAGTTAATCGGAAAATTCAATTTTAATGTTGCTGGTCTGAGAAAAAGACTGCAGCAAATGGACCTTTTTCCTTCTCTCAAAAAACTTCTTTTACGTTCTAATGTCTTTCAAAAACAAGATCAATGAGCAATTAATTATTTTCTCAAGACCATCCTCAATTTATAGAGTTGTGATTTTTCTTACAAAGTCAAAACCAACTACAAATAGGATTACACTTCCAATTATTTTCCTAATAGAATTGGAAACCAAATAAAGAGAATAATTTCAATCATATTTCAAGTAGGATTAGGCCATGAGCCTTTGGTTGGAATATAGGCAATAGCCTAACATAGTGTAGTGTAGTATTTTATTCCAGCCATGACTTTTATCTTGCTTACGAGAGTAGTAATTTGGGTTTTTTTTCTAGTTTTGCTTACATATTTGATGATCTTTATTTTTAATAAAGTCCGTATATTTGAGCTTGAGAGAGAAAATTAAATAACTAGAATTTGGGGCGTTAATCCTCATCTAATACTTGGAGTTAGTAAGATATAGAAAAACATATATTTGTGGTGTCTTCAATGCACTTAATTAATCTAGATAACCAATTAATTAAATAGCGTTGTTAGTGTCCGAAACAAACTAATATAGAATAGTAATATAGTATATGAGATTATTAACATAAACTCACTCGCTCCCTCTTATTTGTAAAAAAAAAAATAAGCATTGTTACTTGAGAATCGTTTTCCATGTATATATCCATGCATGCTTGTCACCGTATATGTTAAAATCAGGTTTTGAACCTAACTTACGCTTCAAAAGCTAGCTTAAATAAATGATTATTGCCTAAGTCTTATAACGAGTATACTCATCTCATCAACCATCGATGTGAGACTTTTGTCATTCTTACACCACCTCACATCCAGTGCTTAGCATCTGGTGCGTGACAAATTTTGATTTTGGAGGTCACCACATCGGGTCAATTTTGATTTTAGAGTCCACAACATTGAGTGAGACAGACCCTTCTCTGATACCATGTTGAAATTAGGTCTTAGACCTAATTCATACCCCAAAAGCTATATCAAAGGGAGGAGAATTGTCCAACCCATATAAGGAGTACACCCGTCTCAGAAACCACCAATTGGGACTTTTTTTATTATTTTTTTACTTACTTTGCATGTAGATTACTTTATATTTCTGCATGCCTTAGTTATACTTTTCTTAAAAGTCAATTATTATTAGCGTTTGTTTTAGCATAGTTTGGGATCTAAACTTCCAAACATGTATTTGATTTTTTTTTTATTTCTTTGTGTTATTTGTATATGGTAGTTGTGTTTGATAGAAAAAAAGACGTATCAAAATTTGAAAAGAGAAAAAGATGGATTCATATATTATGAAAAGTAATAAATTAAAATTTGAAAGAACATTATTTAAATGAATATAATGTAGGTATGTACGTACCTTGTTGGTATCGTTGAGTTGATTGAGCAGCTTGTGTCAAGATATCGTGAGCGTCAAAGTTAATAAAAAATGACATTTGCATTGAAGGAGTACATGACTGCTCAACCGCTGATAAAAACCTTTCCATTACCTATTATCATAATTAAACACACATATTATTCAATTCTAACAAACACACACACACAACTTTTCTTTTCTATGAGAGTAGAAATAGAAATTAATATATACCTTGGTGGGTGTAATAACCTTAGAATTATAAGCAGTTGAATAATCCAATATGCTCCACCTACTGAAGCTCTTTAGATCCTTAATTGGAGCTACCATACATTCCAATGCCTGCCTAACTTGCTCCCTTGGAGACGTTCCACTTTGATTTTCTTCTTCCTTTCCACCTGTAACCAATTAGTTACTCTGTATTTAATTGCCTAACTATTATTTGATTAATTGAATAAGAGGAAATAAATTAAATTAGGCTTTATAGTAATAGTTTGCTAATTACGATTTCTAGCTACATGTTAGAGAGAGGAGAGAAAAAAACGAGATTCGGAGAGGGAGGAGAGAGGTGAGCGACAGAGGGAAGAGATTAGAGAGAGATGAATTATATTTGTATATCAATATATATAACTTGTATACATATGTATCAATGACTGTATTTGTATATATGTATGCATAATCATATATCTATAATTAATATATGTATGTATCAATGAATACAATAGTATTAACAAAGTACAATTTTTATCAATAAGTAAAATGTATACAATCATATTAATTTGAATTTGTACGTGTATAATTTATTGTCAATCATGTGTATGAACGAATACATGTGTATTTCTATTTGTATCACAAAAGAGATTTGTATAGTTGACACTTATAATCTGTACTTTTATAATTGATTCTTATCATATGTGTTTGTAAGAACGACGGTTAACATTTGTATTTGAGTAATTTGTGTTTGTATAAGTGAGAGATATTGGACAGAAAGAAGTGAAAGAAACAGGGCAGATAATTTGTATATGTATATGTATATATAAAGGTTAATCACGAATAATAATTAATACAAAGTGTAGAGTAATTGACTAGAGTATGTTTGTTTACCCATGCAATTTTCCCATTAAATAATGGGTAACTTACATAAATTTGAATAACTTAGAAGTTAATTACTTAGATACACATCAATTTTTAAGTTGATTTGCATGTATTTGAGATACATTGACAAATCTCACTCGGGTCTTCCCATCTCACTCGTCACTCTCCTACCAGACACACAGGAATCACTCTAGATATATACATATACATGTATCTAGTATGCATATCATGTATTAGAGATGTACATGTAGACAAATCTAATCCACCTGCATTCTGTTCTGATTCGCCTATCTACCTATTTTAATTTTCTGGTAAAAAAAAAATATCTATAATTGTATAAAACATATATTTATGTATAGATGATTTTAATCTATATGGTATTATTAATTAATTAGTGATATAAATATAATTATCTTAACTATAGAGAAAATTTATAGATATAATAAAAATGTTTATGTAATTAGACAATTTCTCCTTAAATAAATGCATTACTCATTCTAGTTTACCTCTTTAGTAATTGAAGCTCTAGAGTGTAGATATTGAATTAGAACGATAACTTCCTTATACAGTAATATACAAAATTCAAGAATCCTATATCAAAATTTTAGAATTTCTTCTGAAATTTATATTAGATGCAGAAATTGTTGTTATTTAAAGTCCTATTTTATATATGTTCTTTGTATTGTAAAATTATTATATTATTGAACTTCACTTATCCTAAAAAATTCTTTATCCATGAATAAATTTTTTTATAACGAGAGAAGTGTACATTGGATCAGATTGGTTCAAATTTCTTAAATACCAAATTAAATTATTTATGTCCAGATTTTAAACCTATAAATCATATTAAACTAATAAAAGTCAGTCCAGATTATAAACCTATAAATCATATTAAACTAATAAAAGTCATGAATTTCATCCTCCAAGCTATTCAATTTTCTCATGAAATTTTTTAAAGTCTTCCTACAAACATAAAATAAACTTTTACTTCAGATGTTTCTTTAGTCCTATCAAAATGTAACCATTTAATTAGGTGTTTCTTAAGAAAATGAGAGACGCCGCTATAATATTCAAGAAAATAATAACCAAATAACAAAGAATAATTATTACAAATTAATAAGTAATAATAAAAATAATTATAATTTTCAAGTACTAAATCATGTTAAATTAAGTCTTAGATAAAAAAATAATTATATGACCATATATTTAGAAGAAAACGAAGTTTTTTCAAATTTTTAATTATTTTAGTCAATGTAATACTAAATAACATATATCCAAACTTAAGTGTTCACCCTGAGATGCAAAAATTTATAATCTATAAAAGGCCAGCACACTTGTAAGTATATAAAAGAAAACAAGTAAAGGGAATTAAATAGCAAATTAACCTTCATAATAGTGAAGTGGAACATATAGAGGTGACTCTTGCAACTCAGCAAATGTAACAAGCTGCCAAATGAAACTATTTGTCAGTAATAAAATACACACAACTGAGCATATGTAGATCTTAATATAATTATGTGATATTTTTTCATTTTCGAAAGTCAAACAATTTAAGTTTGACAAAAATTTGCGCGTGGAATCTCAATTTTTTAAAAAATGAAATTTACATATTTGTAAATTATGTAAAAAGTATTATAAGTCACAATAATTAACAATTCAAAATAATTAAAAGATATATGAAAAATGTTACAATAAAAAATAGATTTATTTGAATGTTTGAAATTTAAAAAATGCCACAGACGGGGAAGTATGAGGTAAAATTAATGTACCTTGTGAATTAAGTTATTTCTCTTGAGAAAATAGAGCATAGTGGATCCAAAGATGGGCGTTTCCAACAACCATGCAAACACTTTAACAAGAAATCCGGCCATCCTAGGGGCTGCATATAAATATACTAAAATTGTAATATAATTACAAAAATAACTTATTTAGTATCACAAATATAAAAATAAACATAGATCTTTTTATTATCTCAACAATAAGAAAAGTAAACTATTTTTGATAGAATCCTGCCTCAAAACAAAATTTATAAATGCATAATTCACTTTTAAATTAATTTTCAAATTGTTAATTAAACGTTATATTAATTTTATACACGATAGCTTAAATCTTAACTAGCCATTAAATGATGTGTAACAACTATGATCAATCAACCATATTTTATGGCCGTGGCCTTTTCATTAAATGCTGAAAAACATATACACCTTTCTACTCCAGGTTTACCCCATCCTATTACTTACATCTAAGTAAAGGGGATTAAAATATATAAAAAAGAGTAATTAAATATTTATAATTTTTTAGTGAAAGAAATTCATCTGGTGATCAACTTTGTAAAATGAAGATGATCTCTAAGGTAGGAAAATTAAATCATAAGAAGATGATTCGTACTATCCGATCTATTTAATATATATATATATATATATAATTCAAGAACTAATCAATCTCCTATACTAAATAATTTATTTTAATTAAGAAATCAAATAAAGATATTTTTTACACTTAGTAAAAGTTGAAAGATCAAGTTTTAACCAATTATTTAGATCTAACTCATGATCTCCATTCAAATAACATTTAGGTATCATCCATTTATTCACTCCATCTAAATCCAACCTAATCTATTCATTAGTTTATCACCCCATAATAAGATGGAACCAAAAACCAGGACAATCTTTGTTCAAAAAACAAAAGTGTGCATATATAGAATCATCCAAAAGTTTTAGATAAAATTTCTCATGTTGTATATATGAGTAAGTTTACATGTGAAAGAGAAAAATGAAAGAAAACAATATAATAAATAATGTAGATAAACCTTTGACATTGGCTGTGAGATAAAATTGATTACTATTGGGACCAACATCAACATCTTCAACAGCTTTGTAAATCTCTCCTTTAGTCTTCAAAAATCCCATTTGTATTATTTGAGAGAGAGAGAGAGAGAGAGTGGAGAAGCAGAACAAGAAATGGGGTGTTTTATAGCAAAGTTTTTTTTTTTCTTTTTTAAAAAAATTTATCGGACAAAACAACAATTCAACTTACGTTGCCCATGCAAATTTTCCTTCTTTCTTATACCCATAAACTATTGTAACTAACATACAAATATATTTCATCATATTTTTTTGATATTATTGCTCCACGTTTTAAAAATAAAGTATATATGCCTTTCATTTTAATAAAAAGTTAAATAGAGATACGTGGTACAATTTTATCCGTCGATCTAATATTTAATAAATATTAAATTTGTGAATAAAATTATGACACATATATATGCGTTAATATAGATGATATATATATTTTAGTTCTTAGACAACTGGACACCAATAGTATGACAAACAATTATTTTGACATTTTCTAAGCATAAGCGTTACAAACACTGACTAATTTGTCATTTTCCATTTCACTTTACTTCTCATTCTTACTCTCTTTTTCATTTTTTTTCTTTTTTTAAAACAACAAAAATGTTAGTAGCACATAGCAGGCCAAGTGGCGCACTCATTAACCATCACTAATTAAGAATTAACAAGAACTATTATCCTTTTTCCTACATTTTTTTTTTCACTTTCTTTAAAAATTAGTATGTAATCATGATAATTTTGAAGAACGCTTAAAAATTGTCCTTTTTAATTTCATCATACTTTTCTTTTTCAAATTTTACCTTCATTTTTTTTATTTTAATAAAAATGACCCCATTTGTATCTTCTTCTTCTTTTTTTAATTTTTTTTTCAAAAAAAATGAAAATAAGGCATAGCCCATTCATTAAATGACTAAAAACTGTACCAAAACGAAATGAGTCATTTGAGGAAAGGAAATAAGACAACAAACCGAAAATGATCCCATTTGTATCATCATCTTCGACAACCTTATTTATGTATCTTTTCAACAAGCTAAGCTGTTGCATTCTTTGACACTCTTTGGGAGTTGATGTCTAGAAGAAAATAAAAAGTATAAAAGTTAACTTATGTTCCTTATATATATTCCACAAAATGATAAAGATAAGAGTTAATGAATATGGTTGGGATAGAAGAAGAAAATACTCCTTAGTTTTTATTTATATGTCGTCCTTATTAAAAATAAATGATTATTAATACACCCCCCATTTCTAAATCTATTTCATTTTATATGTCATTCTTACTAAAAATAAATGGTCCTTAATATTTGTCATTTCACAAAATTAATGCATAAAATACATTATTCTTCCAGTTTTACCCTTTGAAAGTTATTAGCCTTGAAAGTATACATTTGTCCAACATAGAAAATTTAAGTACTTAATCATGTTCATTGGTCAAATTAGTTAATCAAAGTAAATAAATTCATATTCATTTATAGAAAACTTGACTTCAAGAGAACACTAAATAAGATTACAATGGTAAACTTACCTAGTTTCTTAAAGGAGTAAAACCTAAAATAGTGACATATAAATAGAAACAGAGAGAGTAGTTGTGTAATACATCGGAAAATGGAAGTTGACTTTGGAAAGGAGTTGCAAATTTTGAGTTGACTGTCGCAGGATCTACTATTCGTAAAAGATTCTGTAGGCCTTAGAAGGCGACCGTAAGACGGATTTCAAAAATTGGAAAATGTCAAGTCTCTGATGATGGTCTGTGGATGAACATGACAAGCCGTAAGATTTTCAAGGGGCCATTGAAAGAACCGTAAAGTTGATTCAAACTTGGTGAATTTTTGGAACCTTGGACTTACGAGTCGTGGGATCTGTTACAGATCATAGGATGGGTTCTGCGAAAAGATGTTTGGACTTGGTTTTAATCACTTGGCTTATACAAGTGATTTTTACGAGCCGTAGAAGAGGTGACGACCCATAGTAATGATTCGTTGAAGTTGTCTAGTATTTTTAAGTCAGAATAAGTGATTTTTATGGTTGACTAGGACATTCCGTAAGGAAGACCTATATGTCGTAGGTCAAAATCGTAGAAGTCACATGACAATTTTAAGTAACGATACCCATCTAACCCTAAACTACATCGTTTTTGCCTTAAAACTACCATATGATCTTCTTTACCCTCACCGCGAAGCCTATTTTCTCCCTTTCACCAAAAAGTTCCAAAATTCCTCAAGTCTTCTTCTCCAAATTCTCTCAAGAGCTCTAAGGTGAAGAGAAACTATTTTAAGCTTCAAGATCTCATTCTCGTTTCTTAGGACTTTGATTATCAAGGTATGTGTGAATTCATCAATGGATTTCTTTTATTCACTAGGTCCTAAAAGAATCTCAATCTTCTTATTTAATTTAATCCAATTCTATTAGGGTTTCATGCAATTTTCCATGGGTTCTATTTATCATGATTCAATTGTTTACATTCAATCATATTATGCATAATTTGATTTAATTACATGAATTTCAATTGATTTCATAGGGACCCATGCCTATGCCTGAACTTGAATTATGAATGCTTATGAAATTATGAACTATGATAATGAATTTAATTAAGGATTTATGCATGTTTTATGAAAATAATGATTTATGACTAAAGGATGCTTATAAATTGTCAATGGTTTGTGAAGGATTTTCTCATAATTGAATAAAACAATGATTTAGATGCTTAGAAATCTAAGTATTTACTATGAAAATTTTACGAAATTTTAATTTGTAAGGAGCTACTCTATTATGACTTATGATTGGATTTAATCTTAATTGTTGCCTTTCAAGTATTTTGATATGAATATGGTTATGTCTATTCCATTGATATTACTTAGTACCGAGAATACTTTAAAATGAAGTCCCTACTGCTAGTAGAGGTTTGGTCTTTAACAACAGTTCTCTTGTCCCAAGCTACGTGCCCACGTAGAATTGTCTTAGTTTACCTAAGCTAGTGGATACACTTCAGTAAAGAATGAATGTGACATAATTTTACCTTGCCAAGTAGATTCTTCTTGTTGGTGTAAGGGTCATGCCAGATTCCATGTTATAACTCAAATGGTCTTATCGTCGGTTAATGGTAAATATCCCACAAATGAGCTATGTTTTCTTCAAAGGTTTTACGAAAGTCTCTCAAATAGTTTGAATTATGCACTAACCTCATATATGATTTATGATTTCTTTCAATTTTATTTTATTTCATTTTACTTGGTCTTGCATATCAAGTTTAACTTCATCATGCTATCATGCCTAATTTTATGAATTTACCCATACTTAGTATATTCATCGTATTAATACATATTTGTGCCTATATTGTCTCATAATATAGGATCCAATGCCCCTCCTCCCATTGGTGGTTAGCTTGGATTACTTTGTTAGTACCGTGGATTGGTGAATACTCATGCTTCGAGGAAAGTGTCATTGTTGCTTTATTTATGTTACTGTCTTTTGTTTTAGACTTGTACACGGCGTATGAGTTATGTACCAACCATTATTATGATATTTAGAAAGTCTATGTCTGATTAAGTATGGATTTCTGCACTTATGTTCAGATTTCTTATATGATATAAAACTTGTATTTCCTTCTCTCTCTCGTGTTGTATTTTTTGTCATCATGCTTATGTAAACTGGCATGTTTAGGACCTCTTAGGGTTCTATTCTTCTTGTAATGCCTAGAGGGTACTTTGGATCGTGACAAACTTGTAATTCGAAGCATCATGTTTTAGTAAGATTCTAGGATGTCTGACAAGCCGCGTTGAGTAGATACTTATTCATGAGTGTGAAGCGTGCCAGATTTATGAATTGGAGGTGCCACGACCCAGTGGTACCGCCTAGATGTAACAAGGCACATAGAAACCCCCATGTAATCCACTTATCATATCATAACATAAAGTACTAGAACAATAAAAAGTAAAAGATATTTCAAGTCTTAAAAAAATTTTGTACAAAAAAGCGGAAGTCTTGACTTGTCTCAGTATAACCATCTGTAACAATACCTAAATGATATAAGACCTAGCCCATATAAAATTTACATAGAAAGATGATATATGAAATGAATTACAACATATGAAAAAGTTTTTCTCGAACAATAAGGACTGTTCAACAAAGCTAGGAAGATATACAAGTCCAAGCTTTATCCACTAGAATGACCACCTCGAGAACCAGACCCTACACTTGGAGAAAATTAAGAAAAATAGGCGTTAGTACAAAATGCACTAAGTATGATAGCCATGAATAAAAGATCATTTAAAACATGCTAAACGGGATACTTATTTTCAAAACATGATATATACCAAGTTTAAACATCATCATAGAGGTAGTTGGAAACCATAAGTCATAATCATAAGAGATAACTATATAATAATCGGTATGATCCATGCATCTAGATCAACATAAAATAAAGATAAACACTTCATAAGTAACCTCAAATCATGTGTATGCAATGAATGGGTAAAACCCCACTGATACTAAGCAAAACAATTTAGGCCCTCATTCATACTCACCATCTTTTGATGCAAGATGACATCATCTTTTAAAATACTTGAACTCGTTGCCAAACTTCATGTATTATCCTTAGTTCATTAGTCAAGCCCTTGATGTCCATGAACAGTATGAGATGTTTCCATAAGCATGTCTTAGTTCATTTATTGCATATGTACACTAATAGATACTTCTTTAAGAATGTCTTAGTTCATTACTCATCTCATTATCTTTGAATACTATGAAATGCTTCTTTAAGCATGTCTTAATTCATCATTACTTTCAAAACTTTGAGATACTTCTTTAAGAATGTCTTAAGTCATCATTCATCTTGTTATAGTTGGGATATATCCTTAACCAACATAAGACCATGTGAGTTATCACATGATCCCCTTTGATGTTATCCACACCGAAAAGGGTTGGTCTACTTGCCTAACGTAGAACCAATTTGTTAGTTTAGTTGGATCCACTAGTTAAACATCTTACGGGCACATAGTTATGGGATAGTTATATCCACTAGCTAAACATCCTACGGGGCATGTAGTTATGGGATACAAAGATTGCCACTAGGAACCCGAACTCCACTTGGTGAAGGCTCCCATCTCATGAGATATACTT